TAAAATAATAAATGTTATGTATGTAAAAACTGTGTGTGCAGTAAGCATTCCAACAAAACAGTTATCAACCAGTCCAAAACTTTGAAACTGCGTTTTACTGTTTATGAAGACTTATGCAAAGTTTCCAGTAAATGCCAGTTTAAACACAGTCTCGTAACTAATTATTAACCTAATACAAATAAAATAAATAAATATTGAAAAACATATATCAATTTTCAGTGAAATGAATGATCAAAACTACCAAATGGGGTTCAAAATGTACACCCTTCGTACTCTAAATGTGTAAATTTGTCCAGGTATCCGAAGGTTCCAAACTGGCGCACGACTCATTTTCGTTGAACTTCCTGAATTTTTGAAAATTGTAAAAGATAAAAAGAATGTGAGAAAGTATGCGCTTTTGGAAACCACTAGTTTACTTTCTCGCCATACTACGTGTTTACGTAGTAATGAGAAAGACTTGTAATGCTGCGACAGAGGTAGGCGATTTTCGACAGAAAAAATTGCATTATGAGCTCTGGTAACGTAAAAGTCGATACGTCGTATCACATGAAATGAATTACTTGCTTAAGCACGCGTTATCAGACTCCAATCTTTGTGGGTCATTGGTAGCGAAAAATTGATTGGCAGCAAGACGTCTGTCTCTCTGACCGTCTGTCTCTCTGACCGTCTGTCACTCTGACCGTCAGTCCGCCTGCCCGTCAGTCCGTCGTCCCGTCAATCCGTCTGTCTGCCCGTCTGCCCGTCTTTCCGTCTGCTCATCTGTCCGCCTGCCCGTCTGTCTGCCTGTCCGTCTGTACGTCTGTCCGTCTGCACGGCTGTCAGTCTTCCCGACAATCTGTCTGTCCGTCCGTATGTCCGCCTGCCCGTCTTTCCGTCTCCCCGTCTGTCCACTTGCCCGTCTGTCCGTCTTCACGGCTGACAGTCTTCCCGACAATCTGTCTATCCGTCTGCCTGTCTTTCCGTCTCTCCGTCTCCCCGTCTGTCCGAGTGTCCGTGCATCCGTCTGTCCATCTGCCCGGCTGCCCGTCTGTCCGTCTGCAGACTACATTCCTTGCCGGGGACTTAGTAAGAGTTCGCCTAAGGGACGAAATTAGACTCGATAGGTTTTGCAAATAAATATATGGAGGGAAACCAATAGCCACTTTGCATCAACTTCAAAGACACCATCTTAAAGGAGTCACTTAAATCAACGTTCAGACGCATAATACAAAGAAAAGACATATCATTCAGTAATCAAAATTTCTAAAATTAAATATTTTTTCTCTGATGAAACAGGAAGTCCTGTGTACCTTCTTGGCGGTTTGCGTTGCGAACACCATTGTTTTCAGTTGTCAACTGAAGTGTAAGCCAAAGTTTTGTGTGGACGCGACCAAACAATATTACTTAGCAGAAGCGAAATTCAGCAGGGAGTGGAGGGGATGATAATGGCAGTTACTGCTAATGTTTCATCAACCTTCATATTAATACTAATGGTGGCGCCACTTCGCTACCATCCATTCCGTTTGCCGAAATCGGAAGTAGTCGGATTATTGTAAGGCCGGAATACTGAGAGCCAGATTACTGTGTGATTACAGTTACCTATTGCATTTGAGGGGTCGAGAGGGGTATGCACTGTAGCTCCGTACTAAATTTCCCATGTCTTGGTAAAATTCAGAGCTTCAAACGCATCCATTCAACGAAAGCAATTACAGAATAAATCCTTCTGGCTCACTTTCTGTTGCATTAATTCGTTGGTTATAACTAACAAATCTATGAATGTGTTTATTAAACATTTATGCTGGTCAATTTTTTTTTTTTTTTTTTTTTTTAGATTAATTCACAAACTGAAATGTATTCTTCCAAAAACTATTTCATTTACATGATACACAGTGACTAACGAAATTGATTTTGCACATGATATGTTAACAGAAATAAAGTAATATTACATTTTACTACTTGCTTTATTTATTTTAATCTCTACACTCAGTGGGGAGACGTTGCAGTTTTGCGTGCTCTTTGCCGTATTTGCCCAGCGTCCTCGGTTGTTTTCTGAAACGCCAGGGGGGAGAGTGTCCCAATAACATAAGGTGTTCTGACTTTTAAATGCTGCGCATGTTTTTACATGTTCATCCTTATGAATGTAAGAAGAGAAAGTATTGTAATCGTGCGCTGAAAACTGCGCACGATTACAATACTTTCTACAAAACTAATATATATATAATATATATTATATATANNNNTATATTACTTTCTCTAATACTTTGTGTAGCCAGAATCTGTTTTTTGTAGGTCCTTGATACCGAAATTTTAAGAAAAGTAATAGTTCTGGCAAAAATAATGAAAAATAATCATGCTATTTTGAACGCTAGTAACAAAACTAAAGCAATGTGGAATATCGTAAAAAATACGACCACATCTTAGTAGAGAATGTGGTTATAAAGGATAATGAAAGAGAAGCCAGTAATCCGGAAAAAGTGTCAAATCTCTTCAACCAACACTTTTCTAGAATTGCGGCTGAACTCACGGACGGACTAAAACCGCAAAATCCAACATCATTACCTTCCCAAAAAATGTTCGCCACGTTTGTTTGAATGTTCGGCATGTTTGTTCGGCATGAATGTTTATTTCCGAAACTTTTCCTAACGAAATCTTACGTATATTCAGTTTACTCAAAAATACATATTCATCTGGTTTAGATGAATTTTCGAATTGTTTATTGAAAACTAGTGTACCTGCCTTTATACACCCGTTAAATTACATTTTCAATGCTTCTTTATGCACAGGAATATTTCCAGATATTTTCAAAAAAGCAAAAATTAAGCCACTTTTTAAAAAAGGGAGCAAAAATTAAATTCAAAATTATCGACCAATTTCTCTTTTGTCAGGTTTCTCCAAAATATTAGAGAGGCTTTTCTATAAGCGAATTGAAACTTTTCTCAGGAAAAACGAAGCGTTTTCAGACTCACAACAAGGGTTTAGAAAATTTCAATCTACGAAAACTGCCATTTTTGTTCTTTTCTTAAAGATGTTGATTCATCAACGGACCAAAATGATGCACCCATTGAAATATTTTTAGATCTTTCGAAAGCTTTTGACGTTGTTGACCACAACATATTGCTATCAAAATTACCTTCATAAGGAATTCGTGGTATCGCCCTATATTGGATAAACTCGTACCTTAAACATCGATCTCAAAGAGTAGAAATACCGTACTGGCACGAAAGGACATTATTTACTTATCTTTCCAATTCTTTACCAATTGAATATGGGCAAGGCTCGATCTTAGGCCCTATCCTCTTCCTCTTATACGTAAACGATATGCCGTCGTCTATTAAGAACGGAAGAAGGGTTCTGTTTGCTGATGACACGAATGTTCTTTGCAAAAAAAAAAAAAACAATAAATAGTACGATTTTAGAAGTTTCAAATTGGTTTTGTAATAACAAATTTATGATTATGTCAGCCTTCATGCAGCTCGTTGCGTGTATATTGCAAATGTGCATTCCATCCTGAGATATGGCATAATATTCTGAGTAAACTCATTATGTAGTACCCAAACCTTTAGATTGCAAAAGAAAATTATTCGAATAATAAAAAAATACCACATGTTACCCTGCAATGAACATACGCGTTACCCTTGCAAGCGTCTCTTCATTGAGTTTGAAATCCTACCACTGCCTTGCCTATATATTTACGAATCTGTAACATTTGCCAAAAGTGACTTACTTAACGGTGGGAACATATTTTCATGCAATACTGATATTTCTAATTACAACACACGTCGTAAAACACATTCATCAAGTGTCAGTATCAACAGCTCACTATCTGATATCCACATACAACACATGTTCGTTACTTTACAACGCATTGCCAAATGACATTAAACAATTGAAGTCGGTTCAATTGTTTTTTAGAGAATTTTTCTACCTACCTTTTATTATTTTATGCTTACTAACATTCAAATTGTTCGATCAAAATATGCAATATTCTTGTACATTCGTATTAATTTATTCTACTTGTGTTTTGTTTCCAAGATCCCGTAAAAATCGCAAGGTATGTCACCGTAGGAAGTAACAAACAATTTTGTTTTAATCCGTACTTACTACAAAAAACCCCTTCCAAATTTTCAAATCCTTCAATCTTTACATATGACAAAAACAGATTATTTTGGAAGTATGAAAGGCTGAGTCAGAAAAAATTACAATCGTTTTGAGAAGACTTGGAATACGTTTCTTATTTTCAAATACTACTGTTATCCAAAGTACTGCAAGTGCGCATTGGCAGAAGGAGTACCGAGTGACCTTGACTAGGTACCGTGGCGCAGAGTTAGGCAATACATTAAAAATTTCGAGAATCACGAATCGTAAATAATGAAAATGACTGCAAAAATGTTTATCTAACGTTTCAAAATATGTATTTCATTGGATTCGTCTTTTTACGTTAGTCGTGATAGGCTCAAAAAAAATATAGTTATTTTGAAATAACAAAGTTGCCTCAATATCTCGTTAAATACAAATGATAAAAAAAGACATGAATTTCCCTTAGGTGTACAGTTTCGTTTATTTAGTTTCAAATTGGTTAAAAATGTGATGAATTGAAATCAGTACGTATTTTAAAACATAGGTGTGATGTTCAAAATAAATACTCTATTTAGTAAACTAATATTGTTTTATTTCTGCTAATATATCATAGTTATTATTCGTGTGTCACTGCATATATTTTTAATTTTTAAATTCTGCTGGGGTCACCAAAATATACAAGACAAATTTTTGCAGCTACTTAACCATCACGTAGTCCAGTATCTTTGTAACAAGTTTAATAGGTTCAGCAGAACATCGTCTGAAATTCACTGATATGCTCAGTGAACTCAGATGAAATGCAAAGTCCGCAGGGTCATTCTGATTATGCCGATCTATATGTTCATTCAGAATAGAGGTGACAGTGCTATCTACTGACGGAAGAAAGCAATATGATACGGAACGCCAACATCAGAAATGCAAAGAGAATAAATAAAAGTTTACTGCCGAAAAGAGCTTTTACGATTCGTCTTATACACCACAAAGTGTCCCATGGGTTACTTTATGATATAAAAGTGTTGTTGATGATCATTCTTTCACTTGTAGTGAAAACACCTTACCATTTGCCCATGATCTAAACTTTTTCATGACAAATGTTGGCACTTTTCAAGTGACAATCTACTTACAGTGGTACCTACATGAAACGGTGAACGTTCTGACATGGCTAGTTGTAAGAAGTTATTGTGATGGTTGTTTAGCAAAACTTATTCGAAAAATACCATGACAGTGGGCAGAGAACACGTGGAAGTATTTGAGCTGTATACACGTAACATATCTGGGCCTTAATGGGATTTAACTTCAATTACAATGGCCCATCTGCAGAATATTATAGTCGGCAATTGCGTTGTATCATTTCGCCAAGGAACCGTGACCACTTTTTGTATTAAAAATTAAGTGGATGCTACGTTTAAAATTCCTGGTAATTCTTCGAAATTTCCAGGGATAATCAATTTATTTATTTCCGGCTTGTTTCGTTACTACCGCTGAGCAACATTTAATCGGAATGCTGAAAAGTCATTCCATTTCGTTCATCTTCACCTTTGATCACAATTGTGTTAAATTGTGAATCTTCGTATCAAAACAGTAGTGTTATTTGAGTAATCATGAGGATAAGAAAACTGTCTGCCCTTTTGGGAGCAGGGGTTATACTTATGGCCTGTGTAGTTTTGTATCTGATGATGGATTTAATGCCCTTTCCTGACTTTCAAGAGGTACATCACTCATTCAGTTGCTTATTGCTCAAGCATTTCTTCATGCTCTAGTCAATTCATTTAATTCTTTGTTCCTTTTCAGAATAAGTGGATACATGTTGACAACAAATTTAAACAAACCAAAGAGACTGATGCAGAAACTGTTGGCACTAAACCTGCATCCAAACCGATAGATCATTCTTTCTTATCAGAGCATACCAGTTTAAAAACACACACTGTGAGCCAAAATGTTTTTGACTCCTTTAATTTCAATGTGTCATGCAGCTTACAAATATCTGAAGTTCCGGAATCTTCAGTGCAGGTAAGATTACAAGTTTATATGCCTGATTAGGTGTGCGTTACCATCTTGAGTTAACATAAGTTGAGTAAAGGAACCTGGTGCTGGTCTCTCAAAAAATATCAATAAACTTTCAATTCAGGGAAAAATAACCCTTAATTCAAGGGTTATTTTTCCCTGTACCTACAACATATGTGATGGAAATATCTTTACAGAAAGCTGTATGTCAACTTAGTTGTCACATTTACAAAATACCCACAACTGTGAGATAGTTTTTCCAATTAGAAATAAATTAATATATTCTTTAATTGTTTCGCCTATTGTGCAGAGAAGTACTTCATTTGTGGTCCATGAGATATTATGTATTACAATTAACAGCTGAAGTCTAGTATATAGTACAACTTAAGGATGTTGTTTAGACTGGCAGTTTGCCCTGGGAAATTCACAGTGGAGGGGTTGAAGGGTGTTATGAGGAGAACTTACGGATTTCATAGGATAGCATACAAGTCATATTTTTCTTAATTACTTGGATGCATCTACTTCGGTAATTTTCTTTAAAATGCAAATGATTAAGCCCTAGAAGTTAATAAACCGAATAAACCTGCAACTTTGTATAAGGGATGAAAATTCAAATTCTATGAAATGGGGAACAATTTTTGAAAGTTTAACGTAAATCCCATTTTTTAATTCACCAGCAGCACCATTCACCAGTTGATTGCTTAATTATTGTTCCTTTTTTGTCTAAAACTGAATGAAAAAAAGGAAATTGCTGAGGATAACAATGTTGGTCTTTTTACCCTCCCCAACTAATGTAGGCATGAATGTTATTTTTGTATTAATAAAATGATTTTGTTTTCCAGCTTCTAGATGTTTACAAACTTTTGAAATTTGATAATCCAGATGGAGGGGCATGGAAACAGGGATGGAATGTTGAATATTATTCTGACCAGTGGAATAAAAATAATAAGTTAAAAGTATTTGTGGTTCCTCATTCACACAATGATCCAGGTTGGTACAAATGTTAATTAGTGAGCAGGGCTGTGATTTATATGCTACAAAGAAAGCAAAATATGGACATATAAAGCATAATTATTTGGTTAAATAAAAACTGAAAATATATAAAAAGGTGTAAAGGGAATTCATGAACACCAAAATATGAGAAAATTTGTATAGATTCATTTAAGAGGAATGTGGGAGGGGGGGGGATGTGGCATACCAATTTCTGAACTATAGATCGAACAATAGAAAATTATTGGAACTCCAAGTAACCACTTTCTTGAAGTTCTCAGGCAAAAGTAAAATGGCTTTTTAAAGGTTGAATTGATGCTCTGTTATCAATTTAATGTACTGGTGCATTTTTGAAGTCCCTAAATCCTATACATTGAAATCAATTGAACTCTTCAATGGAATGAACTGAACTGTGGCCAAATATCAGAGCCCATAGAATGCACTCGCAATCAAATGGCATTGATATGCATTGATAATAAAACAGCTCATGTATTATCATAAATGCGTAATCTACATTGGTTACAAACGCCATCAAGATTTGATATGCCGTTATATTTCTAATATTGAGACAAACTTGGAAATACAATTCAAAGGTTCATTAATAATTATACTGAAAAATTCAACCTAATGAATATCTCTGGATTGGCAACACCTCACATTTGTAGTCACCTCTTAAGTTGTGGACATTTCCAAATTTCCTGGCAAAAGTGCATGGGATTTAAGGACAATATTACTTTTGAATGTCTGACATATTTATTAGCGAGCACAGTGATTTTATAGTACCTCCAATACAATTGAAACTTCTTAATAACAGATTTTGGATAAACAGTGGTCGCAATTCCTAGAATTCTACTTAGTAATTGACAGTATTTTGAACAAGAGTGCAGTGTTTCATATTACTACTGAACATAACTTTTTTTTGTTAGATGAGACAATGGCTAGAATTCTTTGTTACAAGTACAAGTCATCAACATCTTTGATGAAGGAATATGTTAAAGTTTTGGCAATGCAGTATGCTTTTGGAAAACACATCTGCAGCATTTAAGAAATACACTATGTATTTTAGTTCTTAAAATTTGTATACAAGAGTAGTTTCTTTAATTGAGATTCACTGTATGTTTTTATTTATTTAATTTAAGTTGCTTTATAACTACAAGGTCATTAGCGATCTCAGTTATATCAACTATTAAATTTTTACTATTGCATTAATAGGGATATATTTTAAAATATTGGTACATTCTGATGGAGTTGAATACTGTGTTTATGTGTTGATTAATTTTAAGTTTTTTTCCTAAGTTCTGGGAGTTCAGTAAAATAGGATTTAGAAATAGGGAAGCCACAAATTGGATATGGACTGTATGTTTTTGTTTCTTGAATATCGAAAAAAAACCAACAACATTATATTTGTAAAGAACTATAATATGAATATCCTAGTGTGTAACATCCTACACTTTTTATAAATAGTAGATACTTCTAAATAAGACATTTATTCCACCCCTCAGGCCGCCTTGAGAGACTTCACTGCATGTGCAAAATAAAAACAGATTTAACCAATTCTATATGCTTTGAAACATGTAAAATGTGTTGTCACAGGTTGCGTTAATTAGCATAAAAAGTAATGCAAATGCATACAAATTGCAACCTTTGAAACGTGTATGCATGATAGTGTATTTATTAGCTGACGTTTCTATTATTTTGTCATTGTTTTCCCGTTCCTTTCTTTAATATCTTTGTTATGGTTAACTAGTTAATATGCTTTTTCAGGTTGGATAAAAACTTTTGAGGATTACTATCATGCCCAGACTCGCAACATCTTGACAAACATGGTGAAAAAGTTATCAGAAGACCAACGTCGTAAATTCATTTGGGCTGAAATATCTTACTTATCGTTATTTTGGGACGAAATTGATGCATCCACAAAAGAACAACTTAAAGCGTATGATCTTTAAAAGATAAGAAGTTCTATTTTATGAAGATTTTTTAATGAGATTATCACAATTTTTTATTCTTACAGGTTATTAGAAAGTGGTCAGTTGGAAATTGTAACTGGTGGATGGGTAATGAATGATGAAGCTAATGCCCATTACTTTGCTATTCTGCAGCAAATCATTGAAGGTCATCAGTGGCTAGCCAATCATCTTGATTATATACCTAGGTTTGCTAATTATAAATGTTGATAAAATAAATTGTTGATAAAAATTCTCTAACTATATGAAACGAAAAATTATGAATACAGCTTTTCACAAGTTTTAATATGTCACAGACCAAAATATCTATTTTGACATACAAAAATGTATGATCCAAGAAATAAAAAAAACAGTCAAATTGTGTAAATTGGATGCTTTTTTCTTTCTGAACAAATTCATTTATTTCTTTAGTAAATAACAAACAATTTCTAGAGTGTTTCTTTGCTTGTGCAGAGCTAATTTCTGCCTAAAAATCATTTTTCCAAAATTACTTTTGAGTGCTTATTGTGGCTCAGACATTTGGAATATCCAAGTAGTTTATTACACAAAATCTGTTTAAAATTATCTTAAGATCTTATTTTAGAATTTTTGATGTTTCCTTCTTGGACACTCTGTATATAATTTTGGGAAACAGTTCTGTGGAAGTTTTCGTAAGTCACCCAGGTTTTGCTTTGTTTTAAATGTATCTTTCAATTCTGAATCTCATTGTAATTCTATAATTTCCATCTGGAATTCGTGTGAAACAGAGTTCATTTCATGAAAAATATGGACACAGAGATTTGGATTTCTGTCTTATGGTAATTAAAAACCTGAGAATGTGATTAAGAATTTTGTAAAAACACTTTTGAAAGAACTTGCTCCCACTCAAACTTTGCAGCAGTAAATGGTAGGGTAATGAAGACACTATTTGAGAAATGTGCGAAGTCTGTGACTCATAATTGGTTTTCCTAGACAACTTATCTGAAATGCTCTAATTATATCAAACAAACATACAGTTAACAAGTCTTTACCTTGTAATTCTTAAATTGAAGTCTCAATGATAGACTCCTGATATCTGAGGGGATTTTACAGTCTATTTTTTCTGTGAACCTCTCATTTCATCTGTCATTTCGCTTCAAGCAGAACACTGCAATGGTAGTTATCACTGGCCGCACCGGCACTCCCTTCAACTTTGCCCTCTAGTGTCTGCTTGCTCTACGCTTCCAATAACATTCACTCTGTTTTAGTACATCTTGTTTCTTTGTCCAGTCTGACAGATGTGACAGTATCAAAAATGTTTCAAGTAACCATAGGTACTTATTTGGCATTCAAGTTTTCATGCCACAGGAAAGTTTTTAATATGTCAAGGTCTCATAAATTTGATACTGTGTACTAAAAATCTTTTTTATTTGTCACTTTCATCTGGTATTCAAATATATCTATTGCATCAGACTTTCCAGATTTCTTTAATTATATAAAGAATATTTGTTTTTCCAGAAATAGTTGGGCTATTGATCCATTTGGACATTCCCCAATAATGCCATATTTTCTTAAGAGGATGGGTCTGGAGAATCTTGTTGTCCAAAGGGTGCATTATTCTATGAAGAAATATTTATCACGTACGAAGAATCTTGAATTTAACTGGAGACAGTTATGGGGTGAGTGTTTATGATGATTTAAATGTGAAGTCAATGTTATCAGAATACCATGGAAAGTTTGAATTTCATTTCCAACCACTTGAATATGCAGTTAATTTACAAGTTGAATATTGTAAAGGAAAAATCATGCTTACTGGACTTTTCTTTTCAACTTTTCTGAGGTTTTTTCCCTCTGGAGACCAAAATCCAAGAGTAGAGACATTATGCATAATTTGTATGCATTCTGCATTTTGAGCACTCTACTGTTTCCTAAATATTCTTTGAGTTTCTTTGTATCATGCCCACTGGGACTTTTTGGCCAGTCTCGGAACCTGAGATCATTCAGGTGGATGGGAGAGCCTTAGAGGTCTGAAATTGAAGTAAAGGGATAAGAAATTAGTTGATGTATAATTACTATTTACATGCTAATGATGTGATTTTGTGGACAGATTGCATTGAAACTTACTAAACGACCACTACAACTACCCAGGTTTTGGTGATTTCTTTCACTGCAATATGAGCTTCCACCTTTTTGGTCATAATTACAAGTTGAACATAGACAATATTTTGCACAATCCATACTAGTTTTTCCTGTCACTAGTTCACTGGAATCGCCTACCTGCTGCTGTTGTCAATGCTCCCAGCACTCGCACATTTAAATGTTTGGCCAAAATTTTACCGTTCTCTCTTGATTATCATCTACATTTCTTCTTTCTTTTTTTTTTTTCTCTCTTCCATTTTTGGCTCTATTTTCTATTAATTTACCATTTTATAATTTATACTTTTTTCTCATGTGTGCCTTCATTTTATTATGAACATTATCAGAATTGTTCTCCCTGTTCACGTATTGTGTAAATTAATAAAAGCTTTATTGTAAATCTAAGTTAACACATTGTGGACCACAGACAAGAATTCTCGTCAACTCATGCCTGATTGGGGGGGACCATGGACGAGAATTCTCATCTGCGTGATCTGGGCTGTTCGGGTGACGCCGCGTCGAAGGCTGTGTTGCCGACGTTTCGACCATCTTGTCGTGGTCTTCCTCAGGGCAGGCATACCAGCTCTGAGGAAGACCACGACCAGATGGTCAAAACGCCGGCAACACAGCCTTCAACGCGGTGTCACCCGGACAGCCCAGATCACGCCCATGAGTCTGGCCGTGGAAGCCTACGACTTCATTTGAGAATTCTCATCATCTCAAGCGCTCATTTTCGAGGCATCTGTTATTGTTTGGAGGAAAGTAGCTCTTTTCTGAGTGATACTAGCACTTTTTTGAACCTTTCACAGCCCCCTACATTCACATTCTACAGAGTATTTCTAAGATTTTTAATGTTTTTGAATAACCAAAGATTGTTGAATAAAACTGTTTAGGAAAATGTCAAGGAATTGCGGAAGGATTACATCCTACGACCTCAGTCTGCAAGTGTTAAAAACATTCCCTCAACATATTCAATATGTACAAGTAAATCAATTGTGTAATATTACTTATATTTTAACATTCTACTTATATTATTATATTCACAAGAAAGGCTCAAAGAAGATATGTGACAATTATAGGGGCATTACATTGCTGTTAACATCTTCTAAGCTGTATGTAACATGCTGAGGAACTGCCTCAGAGATATGTGAAAATTTCATGGGAGACACGCAATGTGGATTCCAAAGGGGTAGAAGAACTAAAGACACCACCTTTACGTTACAGTTGTTAATAGATAAAAGAAGGGAAAGGAATCTTCCAACTTTTCTAATATTTATTGATAATGAAAAGGCATATGACAAGGTTAATAGACAAACTTTGAGCAATACTAGAAGAGGAGAAAGTTCCAAATCAGTTGCTAAATGCCATACAAAGTCTATACAAGAACTTAGGAATTAAAATGCTGTTAAGAGAAGGAAGATAGTTGGCAGAAGTAACAACCAACAGTAGCTTAAGGCAAGATGTGAATTATTACCCATCCTCTTCAACATATATATTAACCACTTAATGAGAAATTAGAGAAGGAAAGACAAGGAATACAGATCACAAAAGACAAGAAGATAGATACAATCTTGTATGCTGATGACCAAGCTATCATAATGGATTCTAAAGATAATTTACAAAGAGCAGTTTTTGAATTGACAAAAGTGGCCCAAGAATATTCCATGAAGAAGATAGCAGTTCAGCAAACAAAAGTTATGGCAATACAAGGCAAGGAACAAAGGAGAGCCAAAATAGTTATAAATGGAATATTAGAAGAACAAGTAAATAAATATTCATACCTTGGGAATATCATAAGTGTATACAACCAAACTCGGGAACAATAGAAAACAAACTTAGACTGCAATAACTGCTTTCGAATCTGTGGTACAGTTAAGAGACACTTTGGCAGACTTGGATCCAGAAACAAAACTGAAACTCTACAATATAGCTGCTTAACCTAGAATCATGCATGGCTCTGAAACAGGGTAATGAAAGAAAGACAAGCAAAAACTACAGGCAGCGCACCTGAGATTTCGAGAACATCTCATGAGAATCGCAAGAAGAGACTGACCGAGAAATAAAGACATCAGAAAGAAATTGAAAACCAAAGGTTTACTAGAAGAGGGAGAACAGTCTCAAAGCAGATATAAGGATCATTTGCAGAGAATGAACACCAGCAATTGCCAAAAGTAATCTGGAAGTGCACACCAAGAGAGAGATAGAGGCAGACCACGAAAGAGGTGGCCACAGCGGAAACACTTGGAAGACTAATAACTCAGGCTCACAAAATAAAAAAAAATCAACCTCCGAAAGAAAAAAAAACACAATTTTACAGGATTGTGGCGCAATTCTGGCTTCAGATTAGTATCAACATACATAGAGAAACATATGTCAAGTCTTAGGGTTTGTCAACTTTTTTTTATTTTGTGAGCCTGTATAATCTACCAAGAATACTGCAATAAACCAGTAGAAATAGTTGACAACGACCTGTTCATATATTTACCTAATTTTCACTACATATTTATGTACATAGTTTGGTACCTGATGTTGCATGTAAATCCAAGCTCTGTTAATAATTTTGTATATTGTTACAGATGGTTCAGGGACTACTGATCTCTTCACACAAGTAATGCCGTTTTATAGTTATGATATTCCTCATACATGTGGTCCAGACCCTAAAGTTTGTTGCCAGTTTGATTTTCGGCGTTTACCTGGATTTGGGATTTCTTGTCCATGGAAAGTGCCACCTCAAGTTATTAATGAACGCAATGTAAAAGATAGGTATTTAATTATTTTACTTTCATTTACTTCATTTATTTACTTTTTTTTTTCTGTAGTTCTCACTTAATCTTCAGAATGTTAAGTGTTGCTAATGTGCCACAAGGGGTTAGCAGTTCATTGTTTTTATTCAAGGAGAAACAGTTGACAGCAAGAACAAATACAATTTTTGATTTATAAGTATTCAAGTGAGCTAACACTGTAGAATTGTATACCTGTTTCACTTCAATGGTCCTTCTCGGTACAAAATTGCTAGTAGTAACTTGTTTGTAGTTTATGCTAAAGCTTATAGTTAATTAAAACTGCTTGTTAGAATAACCCTTGTTAGATTCATTCAAAGTCTGAGCAATCAATTTTTTTTAACTTTCGGGGAGCTGAAGATGAGCAATAAAGAACAAAAAATTAATTTTTCTTAAAACAAGAATGTGGAATTGGAAAAAAAAATTTAATTAGAATTGGAGGCTAAATAGCTTTTGTGTACATCCTAAACACGATTTCGTTGTTTTTTCTATTTTCTTATTTTAACATCTTGTTAAAAATGATCTTGTTACAGAGCTGAGAAGCTTCTAGATCAATATCGCAAAAAGGCTCAACTGTATAGAACTAATGTTTTACTAGTTCCTCTTGGAGATGATTTTCGCTATGATCAAGCAAATGAGTGGGATGCCCAGTACAACAATTATCAAAAGCTTTTTGATTATATGAACAAAAGTCCTGATTTATATGTTGAGGTAAGAACACTTTATGACAAACTTTTCATGTGTGCTTTAATTTTTTCATACTCATTTAGTTATGACAGAAAATTAGACATGTTAAAAGTAGCTCATAGTTATGCATGTGTCAGAATAAATTTTTCAAACTTCCAAGGCATGCAGGGGAGTTGAAGATAAACTTCATGGTGGAGGTTGCAGATGGTCACTTGTTGCCAATGAACTTCTGGCAAATCTCATATAATGGGGTTACACATATGACTGTTGCCTCTGATTGTTTGGCAACTGCTGATGCACTTGTGTTCAACAGGTTACGTTCTTAGTCAAAGAGAGGGTTGGATCTGCCAAACAATGGTGTGTGCATGGTTGCCTAATAATTAGGGGCAATTATCAATATTACATTGCGTGAGATTTCGCATCACATGTTTATTGTAAAAGAAAGTCCGTCTTCAACCCCCCTGCATGCCCTAGAAGTTTGTAACACAGTCACCTGGTAGAAAAGTATACCAAATTAATTCACTATCAATTCACAAGTTTGTAGTTTGTTTTGTGAGTGCCAAATTGTTAACTGATTGAAATATTACAGAAATGTTTTCATTATTTGGTTTTGTGTTAATTCCAAGTTTCTCCTGAAATATCTTCAAAGATTAATCTGGATTAGAATTAAAATAAGGTAATAATAATTAAATAATAAGGTAATTCCCCTACAAATAGGAGAGTTCAATCTCTAATGAACTAAAAATTATTTTTATAATCTTTAGCAATTTGCTAATGTTACAAATATAAATCAAGGGCAGCTTGATCATGTTTTGGGGAATTTTTCACTTACTCCATATCTGAAGAAATTGATCGTCTTTTCGCTATGGATAGTTATAACCCCCTCTCTCAATCAAGTTCACTATATTTAAATGTATTGATTTGGATCGCTTTTGTCCCTTTAATAACTCTAGTCAATTGAGTTATAAAAAAGCAAATTACACTGAGATTAATAAAGAACTGGAGGTTACTAAGTAGACAGATATATTATTATTATTATTTGATAAATCTCCTAGTATCATTAAAGTGTGTGATATTTTTTAAGTTGAGGGAAATTATTCAATATCGCACTCCAGTTTTCAATACTAATTTTAGCAAATACCTCACTTAGTGTATTATAGAAATTGTTGATAGGGGTAGGTTGAAACATAAGTACATTAAACCATCGAGAAATATTACTTTTTGTCCACTGATGTTTGGAATGATTTCACTATCGGTTCCACAATATGCACTATTTTATAATTTTGTCTCAAATGATAGGTATTCAAATAATAGTATTTTTTATAAAATGGTCTCAAATGTGAACAAATTTGTTATCAGTGCTAAAAGTGATATTGATATCTTTGCGAACTTAGTGTCCTTATGCAATGCCATAATGAACGTAACAGTAGATAGTTTAGCTCTCCATTTACTATTGTAACCTGTTGCCATTCATTTTAGTTAAGCTTATTTGCTTTCATTTATTATTGTGACCAATTGCCATTATTTGTAGTTGATATTTCTTTGTTAAATATAAGCCTACTTTTGGGTACATTCTGCTGGCTTTTTATAATAAAAAAATAAAAAATAATGTCTGAATTATAATGGAGCACAGCCATACAATACATACAGTCACATTTCTCTTAAGGGAAATATTTGTATTTCAGCAATCCAATTTATAAGAAATAAAAAGGATTGATTTGGCTTTTCTAAAAAATATATTTATTTTTTATTAATTACTTTGAATCGGTTCATAAAAATGGTAAGAAAGCATCCTTTCCATCAGCTGTCACAAATATTTATTGCATCCACATCTGACTTTTCAACAATTAGTTTTTGGAATTGGTTTTTGTTTTTGGAATTTCAAAGGCAAGAACACACAAATACATAATTAAATAGACCTGAATAGAGGTACTGAAATACATGGGAATTTTGTTTCACTTATGCCTTCTCTCATATGTGTTGGAGAAATAAGGAAATTCCTTAAGAATGGCAAGAAGCAAAAGTAATTTCTCTTTAGGCAATAGAGAAGGTCCAAATAAATTAAAGATAAACAAGTGTAGGGGATACATTGTACTAGATGTATGCAGGAATAGTAAATGAAAGACTAAGAGTTATTGCAGACAAACTAATATCAGCAAAGGAAATGGTGTGTCAAAGAGGGGGGGGGGATGCCATTTTCATATTAAAAGGTATAATGAAAGAAAGAAGTTAATATATCTGTGAAACACACCTAACATTTGTAGACATAGTAAATGCCTTTGATAATGTTAACAGAGTACTGTTATGGAACATTCTGTAAAGAAGACGGTACCCAAAACACTTGATAGAAGTTATAAAAAGTCATTATGAAACAACAAGCATCAAACTGATCATAGAAGGAAAACGGACAGAAGAGATTCACACCAACAGTGTCATAAGACCAGACTGTTGTATATTGCGGACTCTTCTTAATATGAATATGGACATGTTCATAACTTAGAATTTGTATGTAACTCAAGTGATTTATTTGAAAATAACTTTTTGAACACTTATTTTATATGCAGATGACAGTGTTAATGCAAGACACAAGATAAAATGCAGATAGCAGCATATATACTAAGCCAAATTGCAACAGAACATAGTCTTAAAATAACCATAGAAGAAAGTAAAACTGTGGCATTCAAAGGCAAATGGCCAGTGAGAACAAGATTTGTGATACATGAGAAAGTAAATGAATGTGGAGTGCCATTTCCCATTTTTAACTTTTGCAATTATCAAAAATTCAGGATTTTTAACAAACATGTGACCTTCACCATTCTTCACACTATCCAACAACAAAGTTTAATAAAAAATGATGGTGCAATTTATTTGAAAATTTTGAAAATGTTCAAGAGGTGTCGTGTAAAGTACCCTCAAAATAAAAAATATCGGTTTCAAATTCAAGGGGCCACAACATCAACCAGATTGGAGAATATCAATTTTGGAGAAAATCAGCTGAGGGGTTTAGCTGCTAGCGTTGTTCACAGATGGACGGTCAGATAAACATTTTGCTGTCATTCAATTTTTCAGTATGAAGGATCCACATTGATTCTGGCTACACCACATGATAGGGGGTCCCCCCCCCCTAAATTTAGCAACTGGATTTATCCACTTTCTCATTACCAGGGCCCTGTACTAAGAGTTTTTCTGTTTTAAATTCAGTTTTTTCTCTTCTCTGTAGGAAGAAAATAATAAGTGGAAAAAGTACAATATTGCAGTAGTGTGCCCAGTGGAGATTTTCATGTTTAAAAGTGTTATTTGTGTGTTGCAAGTTTATAATAAAAATAACCTTTAAATATTAGTCATTTTCAGGCATTGGAAAATTATATGAAAAAGTATCAGTTCTATACTTGTTCAATTTTTTTATTACAAAATTATGTTTAATTATTGTCAAATAGATGAATCACGTAACAGTCATGTAAATGCCTAAAGGGAACTACAGGTATTCATGTTTCACCAATGTACTTGTGGGTGCATTGGAAGTCTCAAAAATGAACATATCTCTCTATTGGTGGACGGGAAAGGGTCTAACCATGAGTGATGGACAGATGCAGGTTACTCGATTACCGTAGAAAAATAGCCAGATTGCCACTTCTCACTTGAAAGAGAGATTGATTTAGATAAAAAAGAGAAACAGTAATTTTTTTTAATACAGTAGTTGTACCAGTGCTATATATGGAGACAAAGCAAGAGCAACATCAAAGAAGAATAACTCCAGCTTCCACGCAGCAGAAATGAAATTCATGTAAAGCACTCTTGGTTACACAATTTTTCTATAAAAAAAAAAAAAAGATTGTGATAAGGAATTGGGAATCAAACCACTGCTGGAGAAACTTGAATAACTGAAGAAGAGATGGTGTGAACATCTAGAAAAGATGCCAGACAACAGACTACCAGTACTCACAGTGAACTACAGATACAGAGAAAGAAGAGGTGTAGGAAGGCCAAGGAGGAAGTGGACAAAAAAAATGGTTCTAAGAACCTAACCCTTGAAGTAAAGATACATATTTTATTACTGTTATGACCTCAATACAGTACATACAATGTAACTGTAGACGTGAAAGAGAAGTCATAAATCATCCAAAAGAGAAAAGGAAATAAAAAAAAGAAACAACTATCAATTTTAATTTTTTTTATTTTCACTATAGTTGTTTATTATTGAAATAATTGAAACTAAATTTAATATAGCAATGTGTACTACTGTATAGATTTTGGGTATTTAAGTGTAATTTTCATTAATACATATCTAAACTATTACTATATTAGAAATATTCAGATATTTACAGCACATAACCTGTTTCTCCTATAGTTTGCCATCAATACATTATAATATGCTTGAATTTGAATTATCTACCAATATAATTTTTGTCTACAAATAAACTTGAAATCTAATATTAGTTTTTTTCTCTTGATTTCATTTCATTAGTCATGATATATATTCTATTTTGCACCTTGAGTAAAAATTCTGAACAAATTGAATGTACGCCAAATTTGAAGAATTTATTTAGGATTATCTATAGTTTTGGAGTGTGAGTGTTCATTTATTTTCATTCATAAATGAAACCAATGGTCTTACTGAGTTATAATGAGTAGAATATATCTAACTTTGTCTACTCAATCCTGTTAACATAAGCAGATTGACAAATTATTGTGAATGCCCCTTGAAATGATGATTTGGTGTCTTATAAAATACAAAACCTTGGGTTACCAGTTCTCCATCCCAATTGAACAGGGATGGTAGAAAGAAAATATGGCTTGTTATCATGATTTTACTCTGATATAAGAAAATATGGCTTCTAATCATGATTTTACCAACATGATCTAAAATAACGTAAATTTTTAGATAAACCTAACCAATTGAATGTGTGATTATCCATTTAGTACATAAACTATTACTATTAACTTCACTATTTTAGCATGTCATTTGTACATGTCTTGTAAATTGCTATGAAGTTCTTGGTCAGTGTCTCGTAGAGTATTCTTTCGGTACGAAGTCACTGGCAAGAATTATTTTAACAAGTTTAGTACAATGTCATTCCATTTAGAAAGGGGGTACTTTATTCTACTATACTCATTTTACTCACTTCTAATTTGTGGTTCAAATATATATTTCTGCTTTTGTAGGCACAGTTTGGTACTCTGCATGATTACTTTAGTGCAGTCCACTCAGAACTGCCTGCTGAGAAATTCCCAACCATATCTGGAGATTTCTTTACATATGCTGATAGAGATGACCACTATTGGAGCGGTTATTTTACGTCAAGACCATTTTATAAGAGAATGGATCGAATTTTAATTAATTACCTAAGGTAAATTCCAAGCTTTCTATCATATATACTTTTTTTTAATTTATGATTTTTATCATAAATTGTCCTAAGATTCTTATGATAGTTTGAGTTTTCTTTCCATTCCATTTTTCATTCTGGTAATATTCATTTTTGGTTGGGTAATTTTGTTCCTTCAATTTTTATATGAGGTTTTCTAATTTTCTTAATTATCTTTCTTTTATTTCATATTGTGTGTATGTAGAATTATTTTTCTTGTGGGGTTGGTATTAAAACATTTCCACTAGTAACTCTGTTCAGTTGATAAGCTCACCCTATACAACTGTTGTAATGAATTTTTTCATGAGTACATTTACTAATACAAAAAATTTTTTAATAAATAGGAACGTTCCTAGTTTGCCCAAAAAATACTCTGCAGAAAGTTCCAATGATAAAAATAATTAAAAATTTGATTCATTGATTATTTTGTGCATCCAGGCATGTCAACTGTGCTAGCAAATAGTTCTGTAGGTGTAGTGCATGTTACATTCCTGAAAGTGGCATTGTGAAATCAGGGTCATCAGTCAGGGTCATCAATCAGGGAAATCAGGGTGGTTTCAAGATATCACCTTCCGAAGTTTCTTTGATGGAGCCCACTAAAAAGTTTCGATTCAATATAAAAATGAGACTTACAATGTTTTAGCTTGATTGGATAATGCTGAGCCCTATCTGATCAGCCCTAAAGCCATAAAATGAGATTGATTTGCCCTGGGAACTTGTTCTTTTTTACTTTCTTGCCCTTACTTCAAAAGAAAAGGAAATGTAATCTTGCGCTGAAAAACTACAAATTTTCGACAGAAAAACTCTTCATGCTGGGTCCTGGACCAAAAACGTGGATAAATCTTGTTCCTATGTACAGTAAATTACTTCCTTTAACATGCTGTATAGTCAGAATCAATGTTTGAGTCTTTGATACCGAAATATCAATTGGCAGCAGAATGTCATCTGTTCGCATGTCTTTCCCTTTGTGATCAAAGCTAGTGCCAAAATCATTCAGTCGATTTTGCACCAAAATTGAAATTCTGCGATCAATTTAAAGGAGGCCCTCAAGTGTTTTAGAGGGATATATTGATATTTTGGGTACTTTATTGTCGGAATAATATTTCTGTGAACTTGACAGCTGGAGGTGGCGTAGAGCAGGAGACACATGGTCATGTGGTATTCTTGCATTAGATCAGAACAGTAGTAAGACACAAATCGTAATGAGAACACACTACAGTAGAACAACAGAACTGCACATGCGTTGCGTAACCAAATAAAGGGCCTAATGGCACTCTTCAATTTTTAGTTGCTTCCCACTGTAAGATTTCATTTTCTTTCTCAATAAGCATCAGCAACTCTGCATTGACGTAATCACAATTTAAGCCTTTCATTGGATCATGGAACCACCTCTCTCCTGTTAGCTGCTAGCTGTCAAGTATACAAATATTATTCAGACTGTACATGAAGCCTGATCAACATTTTCAAAATTTTCTCAAATTTGGCTGCAATTTTTTTTATTATACTTTGTCCTCAGTTAAAGCAAAGGATGCATAAGATAGTGGTGCAGGTCTAATTTTCATTAAAATCCCTGAATTTTCCAAAATTGCGAAAGTACAATTTTTTTCAGGTCTTCCGACAATTACAATATTGAAGATCGAGATTTTGTTCTTAATGAAAAGTGTTCTTTAAAGACATATTTTGAAATAAGGGCATGTACAATTTTTCAAAAATATGAGTAGTTTTCAAGTAATTTTGCATGAAAAATAGACAACTTTAATTTTTTTGTTTTGTTTTTTTTTTTTCTTTCTCATCTTTTACATATGTGTCAAGGGGGAATGGTGTTAGTGTCATTTTCAGCATGTTCGAAAATTGCAAAATAATTTACATTTCTAAACTACAAAATTGAAGATAGTTTTTTGTCTTAAATATGTTCTAAAAAATCAGCTTTGTAAAATAGGTCATGTACAATTTTTTTTGAAAACAGTTTTGATAATCATTTTCATGTAATTGTGCTTGAAATTAATGCAATTTATAAAAACACATTTCTCAAAAACTGCTCCAAACCTTTTCTTCAAATTTTTTCCACAGATAAAACAAGGGCCACACAAAAGAATGTCACATGTCTAACTTTTATTTAACTCTGAATTTTCAAAAATTGCAAATTTAGAAATAAAATGAAAAAGTATGTGCCTTTAAGCTTTAGTGGAATAGTTTAGTAGAGAATGATTCTGTATTCAATTTTCAACATAACAACTTGGCGCCGACTCCGTGGGGCAACGGTAGCACATCTGACTCCAGATCAGAAGGTTGCGTGTTCAAATCACGTCAGGGTCATTTCGACTAGAATATTAGCCGATCCGGTGGCCGAGATCGCTAAGGCAGTAGTGCCGTAGCGAACTCAGACCGAAGGATCGCGGGTTCGAGTCCCGCTTCAGGCATGGTTGTATTGTGTTTCGTCCTTTCACCCCCTATCATCATCATTATCATGTCAACCCACAATTACCATACCGTTACAAGCAATAGTTGTCGCTAATGACCTAGTAGTTGATGCGACCTTAAAGGGGAAAAAAAAAGAAAAAAATCACAACAACTTGTTTCATATACATACAGTACAGAAGGTCTTTTTGTGAATTGGGTGTGGTCATTCTCTTTTATTTGCGATTTTAAAAATTTGAACTGTTTTTGAAGTTCTTTAATGTCAAGTAAGTAAGTTCAAATAAGATGCTTTTTAATTATAAATTTCCAACCAGGTGGGTGGCAAGAAATTGTGATAGATTGAGGGTGTGAAGAAAATATTGATATTCAATTCAATTATTATTAAAAGGAAGTGATTATTCATTTATAATATTGAACTTCTTTATTACAAAAGGTATATTCAAAAATAGCACATAGTAACATCATAACAGTTTTTGTGTGTAAATTTTCACAATAATACAGTTGGTAGATAGATCAAATTGGTGAGATTTGTCAAGATTTTATCAGAATCAACTAGATGGTAGAGGTTTTGAGATGGTAGATTTCATTGTGTCTAGGAATAAGTTTAAACTTGTAGCAATTTTTTGCAAAACCTACTGCTTCTGCTCTTCATCTTTAGTAATGCTTGCATTATAGTCTTCATTTCATTTGTCACCTCTTGGCTAAATCATTTAACAAATCTGAAACCTTTACCGATCCCCAGTCCATTCAAAGAATCTTTACCTTTACTCCAAACATTGGGTTCAGACTGTAAAAAATTAGTTGAAATGTTGAAATATTAATTATGTTATTAATTATGAATTATAATTAATAAAAGGACAAACTTGGAAGCGAATGCGTCAAATTGAGATGTGGAGAATATACAAAAATTAGAATTATGCGAATTGTTTGACAAAAGACAAGAGGGGGGAGAGAATCTGGTATAATATACAAAATGGAAAGGAAAGATGAAATTCTGCTGAAATATCGGAGTGAAACAGCCCATCTATTGAAATATGCCCAGTAGCATTGTTCCAGTGCAATCGCATATGTTTACTTTTTTAATTTCTCGCCTTACTTTGTAAAAAGGTAAAGTATTGTAATCTTGCACTGGATATCAGCTATTTTTCCACAAAAAGGCTCTTATTGCCAGGCCTTAGTAACAAAAAATTTGATAAATCTTGTTCCTTCTAATATGTTGTACAGTCAGAATTAGTTTTGTGGGTCCTTGATACCAAAAAATCCATTGACAGTAAAACTTTTGTTTGTCTCTGTCTATCTTGTCAACGTTAGCATCTGTACCATTCAAATGTTTTTCTCCAAAATATTCCTCTATCAATCTAAATGAAATTGAGGCCCTGTGAGTTTGAAACAAATATTTTGATTTTCAGGGGGGTACTTTACATGAAACCTTGATAACATTTTCTTAAAAATGTCTCCAAATTGTTCAATTAAACTTTGGATAACATAAAGAACTCTAAAAAAATGGCTTGGGTCTCATTTTTGCCCAAATCCCTAATTCTTTGAAATTTTAAAAGTTAGAAATAATATCAGAAAGTATGTGCTTCATTAGCACCACTAGTTTTATTTACACCTTGCTCATGGGTTGTAATTCTGGCAATACTTGAAAATCGATGTGTCCAGTTAAACATGTTTAAAGTTGTAACTGGAATTTGAAATGTAGACATCACCAGCTCAGTAATCAATGAATTGTGGAATATGCATTACACAAAGGTGATCTAGTGGAGGTATGGAGTGAGCAATAACATTATGCAATTGCACCACCCATTAAAAATCGTAAGTTTTTAATCTTGCAATTCATATTTTCTTGTTAATTATAAGGTTTCACAATCAGGTACCTTTCAAAGCATGTTTTATGAAAATACCTTATTGAAATTTTGTATATTATTGACTTAATAGTATTTTATATAATATTTAACTAGGAAAATCTGTGGTGGTTGCATTGCATTTGACGTCCATTGCACAGGGTGATCATGTTCATGTGACCAATCAATGGATGTCAACAACATAAGTTTTGCAATACTCATGTGGCTAGCCTAAAATGGTTTAAAATGAAGTGGTTGCATAAACCAACTCTACAGTCCCTAATTAAAAAAATATAAAAAAGAATAATACAGATTGTTTTATTAAGTAAATAGTAAACAGCAACAGTTTTGGAGGAGACCATTTCAAAAGAAAAATTTGTAATTTGCAACAACATTTAATTTTTTCAAAAGTCTGAATATAAAATTCTTTTATACATTAAAAATCTGTTTCCTAGTATATCTACACCCTTAACAAATGTTGGTGAAATAATTTGCTAATTCCATAAATTATTTATTAAAAAAGTGTTTCATTGATACATTGTTTCAGATGTGCTGAAATCTTGTATGGTTTTGCATGGGGGTCTAAGAAGGACAGTATTGGATCGGAGTGGCTGATAGCTTCTGAATCTGGATTTTCCAAACTGCTGAGTGAAGCTCGAAGAAGCTTGAGTCTTTTTCAGCACCATGATGGTATAACAGGCACAGCCAAAGATCATGTTGTGGAAGATTATGCTCGCAAGTAAGAAGCTTATTTAATTTCATTATAAACTTTTCCTCTTTCGTAAAATTATGTCCATCAGAAATGAATATCAGTTATTACAACATAATACACTGAGAAATAATACAATTGAGGTGTAATTTCATTGTTACAGAAAATATTATGCAAAACAGAATGAGAATCAAATTTGGTTCAATAAACAATTTCTCCCCAAATTTTACTTTTAACATCATGCTTGATATTGTAGTTTTGAAATTAGAGTTCATAATATGAAATGCAGCTACCCCTTTTCAATTTAGATGGGAGGAAAAGTAGAGAGTATTATTTTTTAACCAATCCAAATTTAAACATGTCTTATCGAATAATACTAAGGAAGTGAATTATTTCTTTTCCTTTACAAAATTTCTCACCAGATATGTTAAATATGATGTCAAAAATTCGTTCAAAATTTTCTGACCCAAAAAGTTCCAAAATGCTTCAATATGTCATAAAATAGGAATGTAATTGACAACTGCATGAGATAAGAAATTGAAAATTTTCAAGAGCAATCCAGTTGTAAAAGTCTATCACCCTATCTGCCTGTGTGGATGGAACAGAAAGCGATTGTAACATTATATGAATTAACATTATTAAATTATAGGAACAGACATTTTGTAATACACAATTGAGACACATTTTGTGTATCAAAGTAAAATTTTACTTAATTGTTTGCTGGGAATACATCATTCTACGTAACATTGAAGATTTTACTAACTTGTATTTGCTGGATAAAGTGTCTTTCTCTCAGAAAATCTGTAGTCTAAAGTTAGCATATATTATGCTACTCATTGTTTTTCTGAATGCAGGAAAATTCAGTTAAGAACACATTCTTTCAAGATGTTTTCCCATTTAAGCAATCTCGTTTTTTAAGTCCTCGTATGAAAGCTAATGCCAATTTTTCCAAGGTATAAAGTTTTTCCTTAGTAAAATTTCTTGTTTCAGAAGTTCAGGTCGGTGAGCATAAGACTTTAGATACAGTTTTTAATCTTGCTTTTCGTTGTCTTTCCCAGAAAATAGAAAAGAACCAAGAAAATTGTCACTTACATTTTCCAAAGGTTTGAAACTATGAGGATGTATTTTCATACCTGATATCACTACATTGGACTCCAGTTATAGGGAACCTATGGTGTCACATTGGAAATATAACTTCCAATGTGAAGAGTTTACTACAACCAAATCGTGTGTTTATTTGTAATATACGGGGGTTGGGTCTAGTGACTTAGATTACATTTAACTGGAAGTTCAGTATATCTATAGTTAACCTTACTTTACAAGTATAATCTCAGAACACCACCCTCCCCTTTCCCTAAAAATGTGAAAAAATATTTTAAGTTTTACGTGCTTAAGATTGAAATATAAATTTTTTTTTAAATGTCTGTAGATGCTTTTGCAGTTTACTGTGGGAAATGAAAGCAGTGTGTGATGTGTATTGTGATGTCTTATCTGTGATTGAATATTCAAGAAATAATAAAATTTGTTAATTAGTGTACTTGAAAAACTGTCATATACTATTAGAAACTGATATGCGGGAGTGTTCTTGAATGTATTAGTACATGCTGCAGTGAAGGAAGCAATAACTTCAGTTTTTGAAGACATTACCACTGGTATCAGTCAATCAAAACTGTATAATCCAAGAATATTGTTAATACACAAGTACAAAATTATGTATCTTTATGAACAATTACTACTGAATTGCTTTTATTACATATATAAATATAAATTATGCGTTATCAATTTCACTCGGTTTCTTCTGTTAAACTATTAATTTCCTGTGAGAAAAGTAGTGGGCGTAGGAACCCCATTTCTGTAAAAGAAGGTAGTCCGAGACTGCTTAATATGTGGGATTATAAATCTAAATTTTTTCTTCAACAATAGAATCTAAAATATTGCTACAAGCATGCAAAGGCCTAGTACTTGTCCCACAACTGAAAATGGTTACAAGACACTGCCCCTGCCTGCCATGAGTGAGCATAGAAAACAAATATTTCGACGTCCATCACGCAACCTAACGGATGAGCACCAAGGTATAAACCTGTAAATTGCTTCCTTAAACACATGCATGAATGAATTTTTGCTGTCTACTACTGCATTCTATACTGCAGTAAATTGTCTGAAATAAATATTAAAGACATAACACTGAATTGCTATTACCATTATAATTTTTCTGTGTAGAAAGATGATATTACTTTAATTTTTCCTTGTTTGTAATGAAGATTGCTGTTGCAATCAATGCTATTTTTATTTTGCTTTTGCCCTTAACATTTCTGCTTAAAAATTCCTGAACTTCTGACTTTTGAGAAGCTTCTTAACAGAGTTCTACTGTAATTTCATAGCTACCTCCTGATTGTTTTATTGCACTCTATAATTGCTAATTCAGATTAATTTTGAAGAAGGTTTTGGATGTGATTCCAGTTCAAAATAGAAAATAATTAATATCTTGCTTATCTGTTAAAATGTACAATTAACTAATCAATTTATGACTATAAAAGTGTGGATTCAAAATAATTGCCAATAAAAACAATTTTAGTAGAGAAAGCTTTTTATATTGAATACAAAAAAATTATCTGAATCTATTTGTTTTGCAAGTAGGAGAAGTCATTGAACCTCTCTAACATTTTCATCCACAAAACAGAAATATTGGTTAGGTAAAGTAATGTTGAAGTTATTTTCTTAGAATTTTAAACAATCAAACCCAAAGGTAAATTTTCCCGCTATTTATTCACATAAGTAAAATTCAAAGTTTCATCAAACTAAACAATTTGCATGCGGATGTATACGCATCGCCAGGTGAAAAAAAATCATTTAGATTCAAATCACAGATTTTAAAATATAAATCCACAACCCTTATGGTGTAAGGAATTAACTATAGTAATACATGAAAAGAAGCACTGCTTGCATAAGGGATTCAATGAACTCGAACATCTCTCTGTCTACAGACAGACCCCACTTCAGTTTGTCTTTTATAGCATCTGGATGGCAAGATGTTTCTGTTCATTGAATTCCTGATGTAATGCTTCTTTTATTGTAGTTAATTCTTTGCAGTTTAAGTGTTAAATATAGAGTTTTATATCCAAATGACTTGTTGTTATACATGATGATTCATGTATATCCATGCTAAATGATTTTGACAAAACATTCAAAATGACTTATGTGAAACATTAGCTGGAAAATCCACCAATGATTTTGAATCTAAGGATATTAAAGTACTTCAGCCTATACTAATAAAGAATCATATTGGTTACTAGTTTAACCGAAACAAGTTTCAAATTAAAGTAATGTGTTTTTGCAGGGAAAATATTCATTTGGTTCTGACTTCATTTATGAGTGCTTCACCAAAATCCCTCGTGTGCTCAATTGAATTTAGTAGAGATAATTGTGATGTGTATTCTGTTTTATTTTGCAGAATGCTTGAAGCAATTAAATTGTCTCAGCACATCATGCAACAAGCTGCACACTTCCTACTGAGCAGTAATTCACAGGTAATGCAAACTGGGAAAATGCTCTATTTATCTTCTGGCATGACGGTACCTCTATGGAATCATGCTTTTGTTGTAGATTTATTGTTCACTCAGCTGTGACTTAAGTTCTGTAAGTAAAAGTGCTTTAGAGTGCTTGTCACATCATTCACAACATTAACTTTTCAAATGGTTTACTGAACTGTTTGTTGGCTTGTGTTTGGCTCCTTAATGTAAATTTTCTATGTAAGTGAGGACTTAATAATTTTAAAATGTCTCTCACAGATTTATACTTAATTAGTATTAGTTATCTATTATTATCAACAGATGATATATAAAATGCACTTACAATCGTGCATTGCCAAAGACTGAATAGAGTATAAGAAATATAGAGCACAGAAGAGAAGTCTCACATAGACTATTAACAGAGAAGACTGGCAGGAATTTGTTAAAACATTGGAAAGAGATTTCACATGGAATTACACTCCTACCAACAGCTTCCAAATGTTTGATAACATTCTTAGGAAAAGGTTAAATGTTCCTAGTGGAAAATTGATGGGAGAGGAACCAAAGGATTGCTGAAAAGGCAGAAGTTAAAAATTGCCATTTTCTCAGTTCAGGTCTTCTTGGACAAATGGACTGTGAAATTAACCTTCCAACCTTCTTCTTTTTCGTAAGTTTTGAGAAAGCATATGATAGGATAAAGAGAGATAAAATGTGGGAAATACTGAAAGAAAAAGAGGCACCTATTGAAATTGTAAATGGAAATCACCGCCTGTATCGAGAACCACAATTAATAATAAGAATGGGATAATAGAATAATGGGACCGTTACTGATAACTTCAAAACCACGAAATGTGTGAGGCCGGAATATGGTTTGTCACTATAGTTGTACAACATATATATCAATCACATGAAAAAATGGAAACAAATTGTGAAAAAGGAATAAACCTTAACAAGAGACAAGGTTATTATTTTACTTACTGGGAATGCATGCCAGTTTTGCTCATCCTGTATCACAGTACCAACCTCATAGATTATAAAAGTGAAGTAAGAATTCATTTAGCCAACATATCAGAACTTGTGTATTTTTGTACGCATGATAATGATTATTCACTAGTGGAATAGTGTCTTCCTCAAACTTTTAAATCAATTATCTTCTCTGCTAAGGTGTTCAATTTCATGAGACTTCACGAAATTTCCACGATTATCATAAAACATCCTTTATTTTGTCCAACACATTATTTCCAATGTATTCAATTCAAAGTACCTTCTTGTCCAACACTTCTATGTTCCTCCTTATGCTTTGCTAAGCTTGTCAAAGTCTATAACAATGCAACAATGCTCCAGCATTCACTCAATGCAATTAGCATGAAAGCACATTGAGCGTGTTAAATGCATAACTGACATTGAACATTGTTAGTCACAAGTTGTAATTGTTGACACTACTATAAACATCTCTCTTCATTTCCCACAATGTTCACAAAGCTCATCCAATTCATTGCCATTATATAATGGTGTTGTGTTCCTTAGTCAATATATGTTTGGCAAAATAATTTATGAAAACGTACAAATCTTATGTTTGCTATGGGTTCCATCAAACAAAGTAGTAATGCTGTATTAGTTTCCCATAAGTAAACTTCAGCAAAAGGCAGAGAAGTTGGAGCATAGGAAGGCGGGCAAACCAGCTTCATCTATCTTGTCTTTTCAGTTCTCTTGGTTTATTTTGTAATTCCATCAAATGTCCCGAATTTCTTAATAGGAAAAAAGAGTGAAACAGAGCGAGTGGGAATTACTAATTTTGGCTTAGGGAATATTACTAGAGATAGAGGTTAGTAATTTATTAAACAGGTTATGTAATGTATAACCAACAATTTTACATAATGGTTTATGCAAATAGTATTGCTATTGTTAACAGTCTGTGCACAAAACCTGTGAATGCACTATTTTCAAAATATTTCACATTGTATTCAGATCCATGAAAAATTATTACAAAAAGATTCATGAAAAATTTCAAAGATTAAGAAAGGCCCTCTGAAAATGAAAATCTCACAATATTCAATTGGCAGGCAAATGGGCGGAGAAGGAAGAAAAGATGAAATAAATGTATATCAAGAATGGCTCCCAGACCAGACTGTTGGAGCATGTCGTGGCAGTGTCCCTAGGAGGTTCAATCCAGGTCATCCAAGACAGAGATGGAAGGAGGGCACAGCAGTTTATAAGCTAAAAGGAAGATTTGTCTTCTCAAAAATGTGAGATCGTTAACTTCTGCTCTGAATTCTTCAGATATTTAAATAAATGAAAATGGATGTTTGGTAATAGTTACTGTGAGTGGTAGAGCACTGTTATAACTACCTCCCTAGGAAAGGCAAAAATAGTTTGCAATGACCAGTTAATTTAATCAGTTACTTTAATGTGTGTATTATGCTTGTTATGCAGGGAACAAACATTTACTAATTATTGTAAGCCTTTTCTTAAATTCATCTAAATCCAAATATGATTCACTAAAATGTTAAAAGACAACTTTCTGATGAATTATCATTCTCAAATTTTAGAAACATGGTTTTGTTTTGTTTTTTAGTAATTTTCTTTTTTGGAATGGATTTCTTTTTACATTGTGTATGTGTTTTGTTTCTGGATCTGCCCCTGAAAGATCCTACTGCCCATGCTTACTAGAATTTCTGATACATTTTAGTTCATTTTAATATGCTATCTACTAACAATTCTGAAAATGCCCAAGAAAACCTCGTTTGGTTTGGTATTGTAACGACATTTAATGCCTGTAAAAAGTTATATTTTCTCGTCTCAAAATGTCCATATGCTTCAAAACAATTGGGGGATTTTCATCATCATTCCCTCATTCTATTTCTTTCCTTATAAATTGTTCTAATTTGTTATTTGTGTTCACAATAGGGTTCATATCAACCAGACCCTGAAGCTGTGTACTTTGACTTGGATGATCAAAGAAAACAACACCATAGCCTTCCAGAAAAAATAACTATTACAATAGCTGAAGGTGTTGAGCCTAAGAAAGTGGTGATATTCAATTCCCTAACATGGACGAGACAAGAAATGGTTACAATTCAAATAAATACACCCTATGTAAAAGTAAGTAAATTAGTCAGAAGCTTATCTTGTCCATAATAGAACATCCACATTTCTTCCTAAAAATGTTTCCCCCTCAGTTGCTCTTTCATTCTATTGTATCAATTAATATATTATGTACTACATAAATCAAATTATGTATTCCACTACTGGAATATAAGCAGAAATAATGAGAATTGAAATATAAGTGGAATTTATATTTTAAGGAAGAGATTTTGTTTCAAGACTGCCAATAACTAAAACACTAATTTGTAGATTAAGTACATGAAATTATTGGTTTCTGTACAATTGAGTCAGAAGGTTCTGAAAACTGGTTGGTCTACAATTGTATACAAATGCTAATGTTACAAGTTTAATCATTCTTCTACAAAATTTCATTGTTTAATCAAAACCTTCATTACCATTACCATGTAGAGGGGATGACAAATGTGAAAAAGTGTAGAGGAGCAGAGGTAAGGGGTATTGAGATGATTGAAAATGGGTAGTGAGAATAAAACAATGTGGTAAGGTTCTGAAGTTACTGAATTAACTACATTATTAGTTTTTTTGACAATTTTTTATTTACTTTTTTCTCCAAATATCAGTATATTTTATGACGTTCTCTTACTGTGTCTAAAATTTCAAAAATATTAGATGCTAAACTTGTTATGGGGAATTTCATATGCCATATTTCTTAAAGTAATCTTTCAAAAAGTATTCCTTGGAGATGATGTTTGAACATGTCTCTGAAAAGTGTACAAAAGGGGCAAAATAGAAAAGAATTGTTAGTTCCATTTGTTTAGATGGCTCAACCCACAAGAAAAATTGTAAAATTGTGAATAATTGATTATTCATTAACGTAAGTAATTAACAATTCAATTCCCTTTTTATCCGCTCATCTCTCCTCCCTCTCCTCCTCATCTCTCCTCCCTCTCCTCCTCATCTCTCCTCCCTCTCCCCCTCTCCATCCCTCCCCCCTCTCCTCCCTGCCTCTTCGTCCCCCATCTCTCCCCTCTCCCCCTCTCCCCTCCCCCCTCTCCTCTCTCTCCCCCTCTCCCCCACCTCTCGTCCCCCCTCTTCCCCCTCTTCTCCCACCTCTTCCCCCCTCTCTCTCCCCCTCTCCTCCCCCTCTCCCTTTTCTCTCCTTCCCCATTCTGTGGTTGAACTCACATGGGTTGCTGAGAGATTAATTTTCCTTACATGTCTGCATTTTAAGCATTTTCCAAATATTTTTTTTACTGAGAGAAAGTATATTCACTTCTATAGTATATTTTCAGTTTTAGTAGTAAGGGAAGCATTACTACCTTCTTTCTGCGGTACCTTTATAACTTTTCCATTAATCTTCCAGTTGGGAGTAACAGTGGAAACAATCAGAATTTTTATTTGTGGATTTTTTGATATTTATTATCTACTTATCATTCAGATTTTAAAGACTTTTGGAGTAAATTGAGATTTTCAAGAGAAAATTCAGTACCAGCAAGTTTACATGTAATTAAAGATTTGATATTCGTAGACCTCTGGAGATCTTTCACTGAAATTAAGTGTGTTGTCTAGGACAGATTATTTTTCAAAACCCACCTGTTTTATTTTAATGTGACACATTGCATTTGGATTATTGTTATTTTATTGTTATTACTATCTTCGTCATTATTATTTACCTAGATGTTTATTTCACCTTTTTACTCTGCAATAAATAGGTGACAACCAGCAATGGTAATCCTGTAAACAGTCAAACCAGTCCAGTATTTCAACGAACTGGAGGAATGAGAGATTCAACTTATCAGGTGTCCTTTGTAGTGAATGTTGAACCTTTGTCTCTTACTACATATTTGGTCCATCCATCACCTACTAGTGATCAGACAGAGTGAGTTATTAAATCTATCTCTGTGATGTTACTCAATCTTTTTTCTCTGAGAAATATGATGTGTTGGAATATTTTTCGGCTTCTGATACACAAATGTTTGGTTTCAGCTCCAATAGCTTATCCAAAGTGCAGATTTATAATGTTGCTGGACAGCTGCCATTATCACAGGGCTTTGAGGATGTTGAGATGGCTAAAGAAGGAAAAGAATTCTCTCTTTCAAATGGAGTATTTAAAGCACATTTCAGCAAAAGTGGTTTTCTGAAAGCTTTGTCTCTGAAGAATGGTGAAATAAGTACTGTTGTGCCTGTACATATTGATTTTGCGAGGTAACATTGATTTTTAATTTCATTATATTCTTAATTTTGAATAATTTAAGTAGCACGGTCTGCATCGTACATTTATTTGCTGATTGTGTTCCCATTGTTAGCTATCTCCCTTATAAACTTTATATACAATTGTTTGTTGCATTGAGTTACAATTGTAACCTAAAATGTCCGTAAATATGTATGGTGTATTGTGATGCAACAAAATCTCGTAATCGAAACTTTGTTAATTTTGGGTTAATTGAGTTTAAATAAATGACATTGATAAGTAAATATGACATATCCTAGCCATGCTATGCCATAACTTAATAATTATTCATTTTAAACAAGACAAAATGTATAAATGGCATATACTACTTTCAGGGTAACATTGCCATACCGCCCATCTTACCCCCACCATTACCATTTATTCCTTTGAAACGAAATTCTTACATTGAAACAATTGTCATTTGTGAGTTTATATATAATTTCTAAAGCATATGACATAAATTGTAAACATTGATTAATTACATTTGATACAAAAATACTTTTTTGTTGTCACCATACTTACACTGTAACTTTGAGAGAAACTCATCATTCATTTACTTTGTCTTATTTCAAGAGAATGCCACGTAGACAAATAAAAAATCCAATATCCAAAATTAGGAAACCTATTATGTAGTTAAAATCCACCAAGCAACGGAAAATGTAAATAGTGGAAAAACTACTGAACAATATGGAATTAGCTGGTCCACTTTAAATGACAAGGATGAGTGCCATAATATGATATTGTTGCTGAGCTTTCCAGGCCAAATATAAAAAGGAGAAAGCACTTTTTCTCTATTGCGTTTTATCACAATGTAAACAATTAATAAAACTTATTTTAAACTAAGATATCAAAGCAGCATTTATCCCTGTTTAGTGTATTTAAATGGTCAAAAACCAAAGACTAATAATCATAAAATTTGTTCTGATGCATAATTATGTGTTTCTGTTTCATATCCAACTTTCACACTTTTAAATATTGCCAGAGACTTGAAAATAAATAGAGGTGGCAATGTTTGAGCCTTGCGGGCTAACGTTGCCACATTGCTTGCTTTAAAAAAAATAATAAAAACTTTCAAATTATTTTTTTTTGAAGAACCATTTCACTTTCGTAAAGGATTAAACTGTCAAAACAATTATTTGAAATATGATGCAGCAAAGAAACAAAGAGGTGACAATGTTACCTTATGTAAAGGCGCATATAATATGTAATATTAAAATACACTAATTATAAAACTCATTTACATAATACAAAATCACATTTATGAAATATTTCCTAAATAAGTTTTAAAATAATACAAACGTTTTAAATATCATTTGGAGATCATAAGTTGATGCACACTTTGCACCATACAACTTTCCCGTCAGTAGTAAAGGCTTCATCTGTTGCTATTCAGGACCGTAGTTTAGCATCCACACTATATAGACACTATAGAAGCCATTGTACAAACTAGCAACATCTATGACCAGCAAAAAATCACTGCAGCGTGCAGCACTCTCATGGAAGTGTTACTGTCGGCAATTGCCAAATTTCTCAGAAATTAAGGTTAAAGGTAATGAAAGTCAGTGTCAGTGAGACACTTAAAGTTGAAAATGATCTCAGTCGCTGATACGCACTTTCCGCCACTAAGGCGGGCCAGACATTGAGAAAATCTGATCATGTCCTCGTATAGTACTTCGAGTATGCAGCTGCAGTAGAGTATACAATTTGAATGTTAATAAGTCTCCACAACTCAAAATTTGATAGTGTGAACTTTTGGATAACTTAAAAGAAGCTTTCAGAGACCAAATTTACATGCTCCTTGTAGACAAAATGTTCTGGAAGTTTTAGCAATGCATGTGTATACGTGTGTATATAATACACTTAAAAGAATGTGTGTATAAGGTTTGGAACGTATATAGTAATTTTAAGGTGGGTGGATTTTAATGATATGTCATTTTTTTCTTTTCATTTTAAAACAATGTCATTTAGAATAGAAATTTATTTTAAGTTAAGACAAAAAGGCATAGTATTTAAGTACTATTACTTTGACAGTGTACATTACCCATAAAAACTCAAATACCTAAAATATGTTCTAATGGAAATGAATTATGAATGACGTATGCATATTAATTTCAAATTAATGAAATAATTTTAAAAACATGAGAGATATTTACCTTTGTAGATTCAGTTGACATATTGACCCAAGTTTGTGGGTTCAAACCTGTTCAATGCCATGGATTTGCGAAAAACTCCTTCAGAGGCGAAGTGAAGCTGGCTGTCCCATGTTGTAGATTTGCTGCATGTAAAAGCTCCTCAGCATTAAAGAAGCCTCATTAAAGAAGAAAATTCAAATCGCCCATTTTGTTACCCAAGCGATACCTACTTTTCTCCATGAGATGGTGAAAGGAGTGTTGTGAAATTTGCATGGTCAGATGGAAGAGTGGGACTGATGGCCTAAGTTACGCCATGTAAAATAAAGCATGAATGAAGAAACTAACCAACTCTTTGTTTTATATTCATTAACCTTTCTGTTTCAACAGATACAAAGCTCGTGATACGAAGGAGACCAGTGGTGCATACTTATTCCTTCCAAGTGGCCCGGCAGTTGGTTTCCTTGACAATCCTACATTAATAAGAGTGATGGATGGGCCTTTGTTTGCCCAAGTAGATGTTGTTCTCCACAATGTACAGCACAGTGTCAAGATTTACAAGACTCCAGGTACGACATGCAGCGTTTTTGGATACTTCTGCTTTTTTTTAATGTCATTGTTTATTACTAGTATAAAACATTTATGCTCCTAAGTAGTAGTCAACAACTTTTTTTTAAACGCCAAGTGCTTCCGGTCCATTGATTCTTGATAAAATTCTTATAATAATTAATATAATAAAGTTTTTGAAACTGAAGAATAACTGAAATAGCAACATTATTTTATAAAACAACTAATATACCGTATTTACCCGAATATAATATAAGGTTTCGTTCGTAAATATCTCTTTTGAAAAATATGTGATCATATTATATTCGCAGAATAAGCCTAGTTGGTTAGGATTTATGTTTTTACATTGCCTTTCCTTATCACAAATCTCGTAAATGTTGGTATAACTATAAGCTTCAAAGACGATACAAATATAATGATATCTGTGTATGTAATAATATTCGTGGTCACATAAAATAACTTAATAAAATATATGAATTGTCAGTAAATATTGTATAACACATTGGATTATTCCACTGAAATATTTCCTGATCAAAGAGATATGGCCATTTGGCTCTAGCTACCTCCTTGGATCTATCTCTGTTGGAAATTCTACGTGAAATGAAAATCTATATTTCATTCATTTCTACATGTACTATATTCTATGTGAAATAAGAGAAAATAAAAGTATTGAAAGTGAAATTGCAATTTTTCAGGTGCTGACTCACTTGGTCTGGAAATAGAGAATCTCGTAGATATTTCTAATGAAGTCAATTATGAATTGGTCATGCGCGTGACCAGTCAAGTTTCCAACGGTGATGAATTTTTTACTGATCTAAATGGTCTTCAGGTAACAATCAATGAAATTATGTTTTTCTTTATTTCATTTCTTTTAAATTCCCATAAAGCGAAGATGTAGAGTATATTTATTTTCATGTCACGTTTGTATGTGTGTTTTCAATAGATGATTCGCAGGAAGAGATTTTCTAAACTTCCAATTCAAGCTAATTACTATCCAATGCCAACTGCTGCATTCATTGAAGATTCAGATAAAAGATTAACTATACTTAGTGCTGAACCTGTTGGTTTTGGATCGCTCAAAGAAGGGCAGCTAGAGGTATGAGTCTCTTGAATAGTAAGTTACATAACATGTGCATAATTAATCTTGTGCAAATGTTGCTTACCCAGTATTTTAACATCCCATGTGCAAAAAGGTTTTGCACATGGGAAAAGAAGCACAAGAAACTGTTTTGTGCATGATGTGTTAAAAAATTAATTTGTACCCTTGATCATTGTATGTATTTTTCTCAAATAATAGTTCTTTCCTTTCCAGATATTAATAGTAAATACTAATAGCAAATAGTAAATACTTCTGAAATCACCACTTTTCACTTGTTTCATCACTTGGTTCCCTTTTATGTTAACATTAATGTGATATTATTCAGGTCATGCAAGACAGACGCCTTAATCAAGATGACAACAGAGGATTGTTCCAGGGTGTATTGGACAATCATCCTACCAAGACTGTATTTAGATTACTGCTGGAAAGGCGTGAAGCAAATTGTCAGGTGAGTTGCAAATAAATTATTTAAATTGACTACTTAATTTGTCTATATCTTTGTTATCCCCTGGTGGTCTTTTATGTTCATAATATTTCTTGGAAGCAGTGCACATAGTGTTCTGGGAATAAACAACACGAGCAACAAGTAACCAGGGAACATGCTTGCTTTCCATTTCCTGATGCCAACATTCAACTCCTTTGTTATTCCATGTGGGTTTCATAAGTGTCAAAACAAGTTCAAAGCAGGTTTTCATGGAATATTCATCCTTTTACACTGCCAGCTGTATATTCTGAAGAGAACCTTCATTACTTTAATCAATCTCCCAATACTTTTGTTTATACTCATTAATCTATGGAATAATTAGGAACTTGGTCTCTTGATAGTCATTCCTCTCCTTACAAATAATACAAAAGTATCTGTTAATATACAGTGTTCCCTTGGAAAGAGTATGGAGGTACTTGCGGCAGAATGAATTTATTTGGTCTGCATACTGAAGCCATTCCTACTTTATAAGGGGCCATAGGAACATATGAAATGTTCAAAGACTGTGCAAGATACTGTGCGAGATTCCTTGCTGCAGTTTCTCATGAAAAAGATTATCTGATTGATATTTTTGTAATAAAACCGACCATGTCGCAATCAAATATGATGGTTTTGGAACGACATTTGGCGGTACAATTTGGTAGTTTTTCCAGTGCACAATTTGGTTTTGCAGTTTGAGTGGCAGGTTGGAAGGGTGACAGTCACTCTTGCAGTTTTCTGCTAGAAGTTGGGTGTCATGCACACCTAGGCAATGGTTTGCTTCAGAACTCAAGAAATCTGGAAGCAGAAGGATTAAATATCCCTGGCAATGACAAATGCTCAGGATGTACAACATTGGTGATTAGTGAAAAGCAACGGCAACAATTGAAAAGGCTCATTCATGTTCAATGAAATTCACTATCAATTAGTATGGTTAACCAAAATATAGTTTTATTATGAAGAACTTATAGTACAAAATTATTTTGTTAAAATTAATAAATGAGGAAAAGGTATAATAGATCTCAAACTATATACTTAAACCATTAGTTTATTTTCTCAAATACATACTTTTAGGAATATTTCCTGACCACCTGAATAAAGCAGAGATAGTACCTATCTTTAAAGGAGACTACACTTGCTACCAATTATAGACCTATATCTGATATTTTCAATTTGCTAAAATATTTGAAAAACTTCTAAAACTTACAATGGATAGTTTTATTTATTTATTCAAGTTTTTTTATATAACGAAAAAATAATACAAAGATTATTTACAAGGATACAAAATCCTTTGGGCAACCCTGAAATAACCATACAAAACTATATAATATTCAAATAAAGAAGCACCACATTTTTATACAAGAAAAAAAATAATAAAAGAACAAACACAGAGTATACAGAATATAAGAAATTAAAGCTGTCATATATTTGTTAATATAACGTTATGAAGATGGTGTAAATGCTTTAATTACATCAGGTTCAATTAGCCAGGATCTCAATAGTTTCCTAAATTTGGAAGTGGTTGAATCACAATTTTGCAAATCAGAACTTAATACATTAAAAGCCTTTCTACTAACATATCTATGACTAGTTTTTGCTAGATGCTTATTCACCTGCAAAGGAGGTAAAATAGAATTCTCTCGTAGAGCAAAAGCTCTCTGTATTCACTTTGGATTTTATTTTATGTAACAGGCAATTGCGCAATTTACGGTATTTCAATATATATCATGTTTATTACATTTGCATATTGTAATAACATTTGTTTTGAGAAATTAATCAATTTGTTTCAACTAGCCATATTTAAATCAACATTAATTTTATTTACTTGCATAGACATTCACCAAAGTAGGGCATTATGCCAAACATTGGTTGTTGCTGTAGGGGTGTTAAATAGAACGATAGTAGATCTAAAATTCCATGTAGGGATTTTCCATGAAATAGTAGATAGTAAATATGGACAATCAGCAGTATTATGTAAAAGTTTGTATAAAAACAATGTTATTAAGATTTCGATAATATGAAAAAGGAAAAATCTTCAAAATTTCAGCAATTTCTGAATAGTCAGGAGATATTTTGAGTGATGGGAGTTTTAGTATCCAAGCTACAAAAGTAAAATCTTTTTGTTTAATTGATTCAATTTTAGCAGCATGAAAACAGGACCAGACAGGTGAAGGATATAGCAAATTGGGGAAGATCACCGCTACCTCCCATGATAAAAGCATGCCCTACTCGGGACTAATGACCTTGACAGCTGGTTTGCCCGAAATCACTTATCAATCAATCAGGAGGTACTATTTTTAAATCGACAGAAGGTCATTAGAGATCCGAGTCACAGTTTTAAGAGCCCGGTGGTTATTGACAGATTGTATATACAATTTTGCAAGTAATGAAATGGAAAAAACAAAAGAAAAAAGTACAGTTTTCTCTCTAGCTTCACTCAGCAAACTCAAAGTGATTATAAATTCTAAAATAGTTGCATGAATGTACGTTGCATTGTTTTATAGTTGTTTAATATTTTGTGATATTTGTATTGATTGTTTTTATATTTGTGGTAATTTGCTTTTAATAAAACAAGCAAAGGTTGATAATAAAAATTTGTTATTCAAACTAACACTTCATCTGCAGAGATACCTTTTTATTATCAGATCTAAATTCTTTCAGCCATCCTGAAAAAGTCAACTAACCTGAAATTTCAGCTAACCTGAAATTTTGTAATGAGATATGTTGTTAGTTTGCATTAAAAGATGTTGCTAGCTGTTGGGGCCGTCATTATTAACAGACTGATAATTCACAAAATTGAACATACATTTTTCCTGCTGCTTTCAGGGTGTGAATGAAAAGCATCCTTCGGGTCTGTTGTCCAGATACGCTCATCTCTCCTCTCTTTCTATGCTGAATCCTCTCATGAGGTTGCTACCTACCGACATCCAACAGGGAAAATTGAACCTGCATTTTACCCCTGTTACCAAAGGATTGGGACATGATATGCATTTAGTCAAGTTGCATACTTTATTCACATCTATGTCAGTGAAAGCTGGTGTCATTTTGCAGCGGATCACAACAGATCCCTGCTTGCCTATTGAAAGTGTTGAATTTACTCCCAGCAACGGACAGGTAAGTACACTGAATTCATTACACATTTCCAGTGGACTAATAAGAGTAGAATAAATTGTTTTTAATTTATGATCCTTGAAAGCAAAAGTCAATTTGTGAGTAAATTTGTCTCTTGTGAGAGAGAAGAATTGTGTGAAGACTAGACTTTTTCTTATGTTGAAAACAAGGTTTGGGACTATTCATGAGCTATTTACTCATTTATATCATTATTATTGAAACTTGATAAATATTTTCCCTACCTCTTTCAATAAAATCAGGTATACTCAACTATTGTATTTTGGTGCTAAAACAGGTAGAAACATGTTCAAACCCTACTTTATTTTGCCTTTACTGTATGTTGTAAGGATTTTATTATGCACCAGTTTCTATCTCAAATTAAGAATTGCTTAAAAATAAAGTATTACAAAAACATAATTTTGACTTTAAAAATAAATCCCATGAAACAATAACTATTTACTAATTGGTTGGGATGTTCAGTTCGCTCACAATGAAAGTAAATGTCTTATGATTTGATTGTGAACAAGTATGTCTTGTGTTATGAACAAGAAATCGGTAGTTCCTGTCTATAATACATTAATATTTCAATGTGTTTTCGGAAAAGGCTAAAAATCTTGAAATTCCATTGTAATGAAAACATTCCGTATTACCCAGACAAAAATTCTAAAGTATTTTTAGCACTAAGTAGGAACGTACAAACCTATGAGATTCACAACCAAACTCATGGCTCTTACTACATTCTTGCAATATGATAAAAAATGGTTTTGTGGTTATATTTATTATCTAAGACTTGTATTGTCTGTATTGTTAATAATGTCTAAAAGAATTAAAATAAGTAGAAAAGGTATTTTTTGCAATTCAGATCAAAGGAGACTTATTCACCATAATTATATTATAAAATAATTTCTACAATTGGATGTTTACTCAAAATCTATTAAAGTTGCCTGTGTTTTAGCAAAATAAGACCTCAGATTCTAAATCAGATTGGGACATTTTGTCAAGTTTCAAAAAGACCTGTTTTCATAACTTGAAAAGGGACTATTTTGGAAAATGTATATAAAATATATAAAAGTTACTAACAAATCTTCACTCATCACATCCATGACAGAAATCAAAATTTGCATGTATGTTTTTATAATAATGTCCATATTGATTGCTTTGTGTCAGTAATAAAAAATTGAAGAAAATGAATAGTTTATGAATTTATGATGCTGCTTTGTGTTAATTTTTATAATTGGAAATTGATTGCAGGTTAACATGAGTTCATTATTTCCTCTGCACTTCAGTGATACAGTTACTCCAACATCATTATCTTTTCTCCATTCTGGGAAAGCCATGAATAAAGGACAGATTTATCAAATTTGCCCTATGGAAATGACAGCATATCTTCTGTCTCGGTAGCTGATAGGAGTGGTAGTATGTGTCATGAATGTACATTTTTTGCACCATATTCTTCAAAAGGAGACAGGATTGATGTGGTTAGACAATTTGAAACAGAGCAGTCCTGTGTGTGGTGTTGTCTGTACAATTAAATATATAATGGAACTGTATATATTGGACTAAGTGTTACATATTTGTTTTTTTATGACTAAATATTGCTTCATTGAAATTGATAATTGAAAGTACTCAATGGTATTTTCACATTTTCATCAGTTGATATCTTTATCGATTTCAGTTTTAAAAAACAAAAATGAGTGGTTGCGTAAGCTGCTCTTAAATGGGGAAATGTATTTTTGTGGTAGTTTGTGTAATGAAGGAAATTGTGAAATCGCCTAAAAGAATTTCATAATAACTAAAATGTTTCTGTAGAAAATTTATTTGTGACTTTTGCATTCCAATTAATTTATTTATTGAGAATCAGTTGAGGCCCTGAATGGCTGATATTTTCTTCCTCAGTGTGCATGGTTTGTAGATTCAATTTTAATGGGACTTGTTTTTTTGGTGTTGATCCAGAATAGTAAGAATTTAAAGCAAACATTGTAATGTTAGCAGAATTAATTCATGAAAGTTTTGTGTTATGGCAATGAGACCTAATAGAAGATCTGTCACTCAACAAGAATGAACGGTTTAATAAACCTTTGACCTAAATGCCATTCCATTGACATGTTGTTGTTATTACTAACATTATACTATCTACATTCAGGATATTGCCATGACCCTAAATAACTTCAAAGGCTAGCACCATCCTACCAGTGTGAGAGAAGAAATGAAGAGAAATTGGAAGAAAAATTTATTTAACTTGTGTCTAAAGAACAGCGTAAAAAACACTTCTCATGTGTACAAATTTGTCTTGAAAGCGAGATCTGATGATGACAGATTGATTGCATCATTATTATTGTTAACATTGTTGACTCAAAATGACAGAAAAAGAAATTTAGGATTGGTCTGGAATCGGTCGTAAAATAAAATTGGATGGAATGGAATTATGTCAATAAAGGAATAAAGTATGTGGTATATTTCTTTAGCAACAAATAATACCTTAAAAATGGAATTGAGAAATGTAAGAAGCATTTTGTTTTTACTGTGTTCTCTAGAAATATTTATATTGATTTATGATAACAATTTATTCTCAAATGTATTTGTGTAATTTTGTGGTTAGAATGGTAATTTCTGATACCAACATCACCATGGCATGTAGAGAGTAATGAATACAAATGGTAGATATTACTTGGTTTCTGTAAAAACATCAGATTTGTGCAAGCCTCTGGAAATTTTGCATGTAATACCAGAATTTTGAAGGAATGCTGGGGTACTAAAATGACTCATTTCACCACTTACACCACCGCTCTTAAAAAATTAATCCACTGAGAATGCTCTTTCTGAGATCCCTCGTTCAATCCATTCTTGTCTTTCAAATTCTTCATTGTACAAGGGAGTTCAAATATGACCGGGACTGATTTTTTTTACGAAATACTTTATTAGCAAAAATGTA